ATAATACAAATTGAACAATATCTCATTCTAATGTATTTTAATTAATAAACTTTGTAATAAAACGTACGGGCTAAAAGACCTAAATCCCCAGCACGTTGAATTCGCAAGCGCTTGAGATCATCAAGCGTACCTTCAATGGGATGTGTTGTCCCATCTTTCCATGGTCGTTTTACAATCACATCAGCATCAATCGAATGATTAACATTTGATGTCTCAACAATAGATCTTATTGCCCAATTTTTTGTTGCTATGATTTTAAAGATCGTTGAAAGTCGAAATTAATTATATTTTATTATATCTACAAGTTATTATGAAATCTCTAAATTGTATATATCAAGACAAAATTTCAAATCTACCATTATGTTCTTTAGTAAGAACGCTTTTTCGAAATCTCGTGGCGGCATCACCCTTGAAAGCGTTACCCTGTTTCGCTTTCAACCTGCGTACTAATAAGACCCTACTAGTTACTGCAGCGAAATTTTCCTGAGGTAATGCGGAAGTTGTCGTCCTTGGTGGATTTGCTGTTAGAAAAAAATCTTCTTCAGGGATCCATTCAACGGCGAGATAATTTTTGCATGAAAATTGCGACGAAAAATGAGAATTATTATGGATTTTTCGACGCTTTGGAAGTTCATAATGTATTAAACGATTTGGCGTTTTCTTTGGTGAGACTTGTAATGAGGTGGATGCACCATGTTTCCTTTTGAGTTTTGGTTCTCCACCAAAAATTGGCCACCATCCATGATTATTGATAATATACTGTTGTAATTTCAAGGCATCAGTCGGAGGTTCCGGAAGTTGAGGTTTTTGTTTAGACACTTCCAATGTCCACTCTGACCAGCTTTGTGAAAAGGATTTAATTACTGACCCATGTCGTTCGGAAACTATTGCTGTCCATTCTATCCAAGTTTGTGAAAAGGATTTTAATGCATTGGAATCAGCATCGGATCTTTGAGAGATTCTACTCTGTGTGATAAAAGAATTTGGGGCCATATTGACCTTTGCTGAGGAACAAACGAATGGTAACTAGTTTGATAATCTAAACTCAACCTTTGAGTATATATGTACACCCCAAAACAAGAAATGATATTGATATATATGACGTTAATAAAATAACAAGCAAGCTTGATTTCTACGTTGAACGAGAAATAATTTGATTACTTAAAATCACTTGATAAAAAAAAATTAAAAGAATCACTTTGAAATATCGGTCTTTTTTTTTTTTTTTTTAAGAATTTATTTACAGGTTATTTGAAATTAAATGATGTTGAAAATTTGTTTACCGTTCGAGAGAATATTTTTTTTTTTGTTTCCCCCTTTGTGTAATTTGGTATGGCCAGAGAAAAACCAAGTTCCAATGTATTAAAATGATAGCATCATCATGACTTCAAACGCCAGTAGTAAGTATAACAAGTAATGATTGTTCCTTCATGTAACATCGTAAAAAAACTCGTATTACAAAAGCTAGCTTAAAAAAGTCATCCAAAATTTAAGTTGACCAATCATCAGAGACTAAAGAAGAGAAAAAAAAAATCTTAAGTTGGTAAATCATTCAAATGTCTGATCCAACATTAACCAATCATATTTGAATAATACAAATATTCTAAATTTAGTATGATCCGAGAAATAACAATCTCTTGCTTAACAAATAAATGTATGAGGTATTAAAACATAATATTAATATTATTAACATAATAGAAAAGGAAAATTTTCTTTATGTTTTGAAATAAGCTGCGGAAGGAATGGGGCGACCATTATAATTTGATGGGGTTAAAAAAAAGCTCGGATAATTTCCCTGAAATTTCTGCTGTGCCACTGAGCTTTTTTACAACTATTTGAGTTTCACTGGAACACTTTTTATTTCGCCCTTTCAAACTATCGAACTTCCCATTTCCAAACCTCATCACACTTTGAAGTATCTCACGCTCTCTAAAGGAGAGCTTTATTTCTTCTTTCAAAGAATAGATTTTTGTGACAAACATTTGTTTTAAACATTTGTTCTTTGTTAAACTAAAACGTGGCTCATCTCAATAATTACAATAAAAAAACTAATTTTTATTTTTTATTTTTTGTTTTTTTTTTATATATATATATATATTTTTTTTCTTTTTTTATTTTTTAAAAAAAAAACCAGCTTCGCATTTGGGTAGTATATTCGCACGTTCGCCTCTTCCATACTTTTTCCTTAATAAACCTTGTGTATAATTTTATTGCTAGATATACAAAGTTAAAAACACTAAACCTGTAATATCGTTTATTATTTCTTCTTTTTTTTTTTTTTTTTATTTTTTTCCTTCTTTTTCCCTCAAAAAAATAAACGATCACAATGAGAGAATCCAACTTTTCTTTTCCCTCACAAAACCGTGCCTCCGTCTGCATTACTTCTGCTCTTTATGACAGAAGAGCGCTTGACTGCACGGCCATCTTACCATTAATTAACTCCCTGACACATCTTACCTACTTAACAAGTACTTCTCCACGCATCCGAGAGATTCTCACGATGGATGGAGGGTTGGAACGCTTGGTTCGTATCCTTAAAACTACCAAAGTGAACGATAAAAGAAGCGGTTGGAAATGGTCTATGGCATTTCAATGTGTTGCTAACGTTGGAGTACGGGGTTCTGAGACAATTAGAACTAGAGTTGTGGATGCTGGTATGGTACCGGTTATTATAACCGTATTGGACAATTTTTTAAAGGCTCTTGATCATGTTAGATTGGAAAAGGAACAACAACAACAACAGCAATTACTTGCTGCACAATTACTTACAACGCAGCATCCGCCGCTGATCACAACAACCACACCACCTCCCCCTGCAATCCCTCTTGCAGCAGCTTTCGTTGGAGCTTTAGAAAATGGTAACGCGTTGAATATTATTCAGATGTCTGAAGAGTCTGAACAACTTTTAACTTCTTATCCTCACTCACCTAATTCAACAACATCCATTTTCCCTTCTTCTGATTACCAAAATGAAACCTCTGATATTTCATCAAATATGCATGGTATTACGCCATCGAATACAGCTGCTGCTTCTACGAACAGGTTTCTAACAAATGTCACAACACCTTATGATATAAGGTCGTCTGATGATGCAAGATCGGATGTTGCATCTTGGGGTTCGGTTGCAGACAATGAAGAAACCACAATGCCACAACTTCCACAAGCAATTACAGGCACAGCTGGAACAAATATAACTCCAAGCCTACGACCTTCACAACTACCGAATAACAACCCAACAAACCTCGCTTCGCAATCATCAACAACTTTGGAAATTGACGTTCTGTATCGTGAAGAAGATATTCTTTTGTCCCTTCAACTACTAGCCTACCTTTCAAAGTATCCTCATTTACGAGCTACTTTTCACACAGCTTATCCGCCCCATAACGTATTCTCTCTTGTAGAAAAATTCACTCATCGCCTCCATCCTGCAGAGATCCAATATTGGGCTGGTGTTATCATGCGCAATGCTTGTCGTAAGGATGAAGCTCGCGGTGGAATCCGTCAATGTGCTTATATGGCTTGTGGTAAATGGGAAAGTTATCCAAGAGAATTTGCAAAATGTCGGAGATGCCGTAAAGCTAAATATTGCTCTAAAGCATGTCAATCAAAGGCTTGGAGCGAAGGACATAGGTGGTGGTGTATGGAACGACTAAGTCATGCGGACGCAGATACATCTGGCAACGGTCATTCAACTTCTAGTATGGAACGACATAGATCTGCGGATGCAGATACATCTGGGAACGGTCAGTCATCTTCTAGCATGGATACAGATCCACCTGCAAATGGTCAGCCAACTTCTATCATGGAACGGCATAGACATGCGGATACAAATACTTCTAATTCAACTTCATCTACAAATTCGAGCGGACACCGTTCTCGTTCATCTCGTTCAACAAATTCCACAGGCAATTCAAGGTCAACAACAAATCGCGAAGCAACGACGGTAACAACTGGTACAACATCTCACGGCCGTGATTCTGGATCAGTTTTAGTATCGTGATGGTATTTATGATAAATTAGTTTTAAAATAGGATGTTTTGGAAATTTTATATAAATATATATATATATTATTTTTTTTTTCGTTTTTCTTTGCATATATTTGAGATGATTTTTATTCTTATTCTTATTTTTTTTTTTTTATTTTTAAGTTAGATTTTTTGACATTTTTTTTTCATTGTTTATATTTCGTTTCCGATATTTAGATTATTTCATGCGGAATAATTGATTGTTTTTTATTTTCGAATTGACTTATATTATACATCTTTAAGAAACGAAAAGTGTTCGTAGTGCTTAAATTTGAAAATAATCTGTTCTTTATATAAATATATATTGTATTTTTTTTTTCCTGCGCACTTTTCCTTGTAATCTTGCTAAACTACATTTTTTTTTCCTTTCCTTTTTTTTGCATCATGTACACAGATTTTGTTTTATATATGCGAAAAAAATTTGCGCCAATATTTTCCGTTGTATTGAATGGTGGCTATTAAATTACGTGTTTTTAATATAGAAAACATTCCTTTTTTTCCGCAAATCTTTTATCATTTTTGAGGTTTGGAAGGTTTGGGATGATATATGTGGGTTAACAACTTTCCTGAAATTTATTAGATATCTCCCCAAAAGCTTCAAAACAGGTCTAATAATGACTCCAAATAATTGATCATTCATTTAATATTCATAATTAATATTCTTTTTTCTTGCATTGAATGCATCAAAAACCGATTTTTTTTTTTTTTATTTTTCTTACATTCAATTATATACACAAATTTGTACAAATTTTTTATTAGATTTGATAAATTTTACTTTAAAAAAATTAAATATTTGTATTGTTTTGTTGATTTCCTGTTTTTGGTAATTTAACACAATTTTGCATGAAGATCATCTGTCGAGGACAGAAGGGAGATATTTCATACCTGGTTTCTGGTTTGCATAGGGTCATGTGTCACGTGTGATAAAAACGTTGCATAAAAAATGTTTTCGGTAAGAGTGTATGTTCAATAATAATGCCTTTCAAAGGTTTCGCGCAGCTAGAAAACATTTGTAAAGCGTCTTCAGAAGTTGCTGCACTTAACTTTACTTATCATAATGCGCGTTTAGCTGCTCTTTTAGAGTCTGGCGGGAGTAAAAAGTCGATTCGAGATGCTGCGCCCCACGAAAGAAAATTGTTTACTTTTGTAGATGAACTCGGAACAAAGTCTCGGTAAATGGGAGTTTTGTATATTAATATTTTCCTTGTTCGTCTAATTCTTTAAGCCGATTTACACGTGATTCTTACAAGTTCCATACTTTATTAAATACTTTGACGCGAACTAAAGACAGGAATTAGAACAACCTACTCCTTTACGTGGTCCTGGTCCTATAACTGTGGATAAACTACTCCGAGCAGCAAACGTGCTAGCTCAGATTTGGTATTAAAACTTTCTAATTTTGAAAGTTTTAACGAAGACGCCCCTGTTAATTTAAAAATATATTATTTAGTGATCTTCAGGATGTAAAGGAAAGGATTGAATCTTTGGCACAACAATATGAAGAAATCACTTCCTCAATCGATAGTTTGGAATCCATCAAGGAAAAGGTAGTTAATATTTATAAATATATTTAATTGATTTAATTGGCCATTGATTAACTCACATTTATCTTTGTTGAAATGAATGAATAGCAAAGAATAAATTTTGAAAAACTTAAATTGGCGGTACAGGCGAGGAGTTCGAAACGGTCAAACGAATGCATAGTTAGAGTATATATATATATATATTTTTTTTTTATTTAATTGTCTTCAATATGCATTCATATTTTACGTGATTTTAGGTTAATTCAAGTGAAGATGAATTAAAAACCCAAAAATACCTAGAAGAAAGGGTCAAATCATTAGCACTACAACATGAAGAGATCATATCTTCAATCGAAATAGTAAATAATTATGAATTATAATTGATCTTTTTGATTTAATAAATTAATTTATTCAACATGTTTACATTAATTAATTTAATCAATAGCAAAGAATAAATTTAGAAAAACTTAAATTAGCAGCAGATGCGAGGAGCTCAGATAAATGCACAAATAGAGTATATGATTGTATTATATTATTATGATCATTATGTATATCAAATATGCGTTCATAGTTTATATGATTTGTAGATTAATTTGGCCGAGGATGAATTTAAAAACCAAAAAAGTCCGGAAGAGGTTTGTTATAAAATTGACATGGAAAGAAATCAATTGATTTTAAATTTGAATTTTTAACTAATATTTTATAATTGACAGTCATTTTCGGCATCGGCCCTCAATCAAGATCAAGGAAAATTCAATGAGTTGGAATATGATAATGTTATCATCAAGTAAAATGATATGAACATATTTTAATCATTGTATAGAGATTTATTTACTTTGGATATTAACCGATTTTATGCTATTTGGATTAGGGGCATAAACGATATAATGATTAATAATTGTATATTCAAGCACGATCAAAGGGACACATCAATTCCTATTCCCTCACAACAAACGATATTAGGTGCGATGGTTCTGCAGATTATTCGCGATACGAATGAGCTTACTCTTAGCGAGCTCAAGATCAAAATTGGAGAATTTTCACGTGAAATTGGATTATCAGAAGACCAAGGTGTCCGTGCTATTTATACTCTACTTGCAAATAAACTCATAACTATTGACCGATCAAAAGGAAGTTATCAATCGGTTCGATCATTCTAGATTTAATCGTCCTAATGATAAGAGATTATATTTGACTTATTTTTAATTTTTATATTTATATGATTTCTTATTTTGATTTAATCTTAAAAATGATATTTTTCATATCTTCGTATCAATGCATGTGATAAAGACGTTCGAAATAATCGTTCTATTGTTTCCTTCAAAATATATTGATATCACAAATATTATTTCCTATCTACCATAAATAAATAACGATGGTGCAGATTTCTTTTGTTTGAGATTCGTAATTTAAAATTTTTTCTTACCAAAAAAGTTTCTTTGGCATTATCGTTATCTTTGTTTGTTATTAAAAATGTCGATTACAATATAGATAAGAAAATTTTTTTGATCATTTTAATCGAATACTTAATTATGTAATTCAAATTTGTAACGTTATATACTATACGCGACTTATGCATTAAAAGATTTATTTGTTTTGCATAAAATATTCTATTCTCTTATCCGATAAATATTCGTTTGATTGAATTTAAGATAAGATAGAACAAGCATTTATCTTATCATTCACGTTACAAAACCGCCAATCTGATCAAGAGTTTCACAATGTCAATCTAAAGAATCAATCCAGAGATTTTTCCTTATATAATGAACATGTCCTTTTTGCATGTGTCAACAATCAAAATCGATTTTTTTTTTTTTTTTTTTTTTTTTGATCCTCTTCTCAAAAATCAATTATTTCTTTTTAACCTTTTTAACTTTATTAAAAAAAAATGGTCAAAGCCGTAGTATTAGGTGCTGCTGGAGGTATCGGACAACCTCTTTCACTTCTTCTTAAACTTAATGAAGTTATCACGGAACTTGCACTTTATGATATTGTAAATAGTCCCGGAGTAGCCGCAGATTTAAGTCATATCAATACTCCAGCCAAAGTTACTGGTTACTTACCTGCAAATGACGGTTTAAAATGCGCCTTGACCGGCGCACACTTGATTGTAATTCCGGCAGGTGTTCCCCGTAAACCTGGCATGACGAGAGACGACCTTTTCAAGGTATACTTTTAACCATATTAATAAGAAAGCAAAGCGTTATGAACTAGTTGTTTGAAATTTATTCTCAATTTCAAATTATTTTTTGTTAACAATATATGTCTTAGATAAATGCGGGAATTGTTCGTGACTTGGCCACAGGCATTGCCCAACATGCCCCTAAAGCTTATGTTCTCGTAATCTCGAATCCTGTAAATTCTACTGTACCAATTGTTGTGGAGGTTCTAAAGAAACATGGTGCATTTGATCCTAAAAGAGTTTTTGGAGTTACAACTCTTGATGTTGTTCGTGCATCTACCTTCACTAGTTCAATCAGTGGTGCAGCACCGCAAGGAGTTCGCGTTCCAGTCGTAGGAGGACACAGTGGCGTAACTATTATTCCACTTTTGTCACAAATCTCACCACGTCATAACTTTACTCATGAAGAAATTGAGGCACTTACAAAACGCATTCAATTTGGTATATATTTATTTATATAAAAATGTCGAAATTTTACTTTGTAGTTTATAAATTAATTATCATTTTTATGATTTTTATAGGGGGTGATGAAGTTGTTAAAGCTAAAGATGGTGCAGGATCGGCGACCCTTTCAATGGCACAAGCTGGTGCTCGATTTGCATCTTCAATTTTAAATGCCACCGTTAAAGGAGAAGCAGGAATCGTCGAACCTTCCTACGTTCACCTTGATGCTGATAAAGAAGGGTGCGCGCAACTTCGAAAACTTATCGATGGACTGGATTATTTCTCATCAAACATCGAACTAGGAGTATATATCTTTATTTTTTATTTTATATATTATTATTCATAATTTTTAACATACCAATGTTTAACATAAATTAATTTGATAGCCTAACGGTGTTGCAAAGATTATCTCTCTTGGCGAAATTAGCGAATATGAAAAGAAACTTTTAGAAGCGGCTATCCCTGAGCTCAAAACAAATATCAACAAAGGTGTCTCGTTTATCGCTGATGGATCCAAATTGTAATGTATCTTACTATATAAACAAAATATAAAATTCGAATTTCAAATATCGACAATACAAATTATAATGTCGTAACTTATAAAATTTTTATCCTGAAACATAATAATGATAATTTTTTTTTTTTTTTCGTCTATGTGATCGTTTTTTTGCCTAACAATAGTTAACGTGAATCCTCGAAGAAACGAAACTATGCCAAAAATCGCATTTGCAACGAAGTAGTAAATATTATTTCAATTTTTGGTAGTCGATTTTAAAAAAAAAAAATAAATAAATAAAATAATAATTATAATAAATTAGGTAAGGATAAGTTAATGTAAATTATAATAAATTTATTATTCAACCACTCGAAAATTTTAGTGTCACCGTTTCAAAAGTCATGTTTACTTTATTTATTAAGACTAGAATTGAACAAAAATTTGCCTTCCTACCTTTCACATGGTTTTTTTAAAAATAAATTTTTTTATTAAATGATATCAAAGATATCTATTATTTAAATGTACCCAAGGCATGAAACGACAAAATTGAATTAATGATCAAATGCCGTGATTAATTTGGGTCTTTTTTTTTTTATAAGCAATTTCCACAAAAGAGATAAATCGTCATAAAACAAACGAAAAATCTCGGAAAAAAAAAAGTGGAGCTATGAATGTCAAAGAATTGTAAGAGGGTTTACCGGTTGTATATAAACTATCAAAAAAAAAAAAAAAAAAAGATTATCTGCATCAATCACATGTACCAGACCTACCCCCAGTTTTAGATACCCTTTTTTTGAGGTCCAAAAAGTATTTGTTACACAAGCACGTTCATTAGACGCGTCTTAAATTCAAAAAAAAAAAAAAAAACACATTTCACTGTTAGAAATTCTAATTTTTTTAAGTCATAATTTTTATTATAACCTTACTCGTCCCAAAAGATCAAAACTTCGCTATCGTTCCTTTATTTGTAATGGTTGAAGAAGAGTATAAAGAATATACAAAGATAGAAAAACTTGGCGAAGGTATATTTAAATTATAGTGGTTTGATTGTAACAAAGTACGTAAACAAAAAATAATATGTTATTTCAAATTAAAAATCAGGTACGTATGGTGTCGTTTATAAAGCAAGAGATAAGAAAACCGGAAAGATTGTAGCATTAAAGAAGATTCGATTGGATGAAGAAGTGGAAGGTATTCCGCCAACTTCGATTCGAGAAATTTCATTATTAAAGGAAGCTTCCAAGAATAAAAATATCGTAAGGTACGTTAAAATGGATATTTATCTCCCTTTTTATTTACTTCTTTTAATGTCTTTATTGTTATTATTATTATTATTATTAGGTTGTTAGATATTGTTAACCAGGAACGGAAGTTATGTCTCGTATTCGAGTTACTTAAAATGGACTTGAGAAAATTTATCAAGGAACTCCCACCGTCTGGAATGGATTCATATACAATGCAGGTAGGGAATCCTATAAATCTGTTTTACTTATTATTTGTTTTTTATCTTTATTTTTATTTATTTATTTATTTTTTTTTTTTTTTTAGAAATTTATGTATCAACTTCTAGATGGAACATTGTTTTTACACATGCATCGTATTTTCCATCGTGATTTGAAACCGCAAAATTTATTGATTGATGAAAATGGAGATTTGAAATTAGCAGACTTTGGATTAGCAAGAGCTGTTGGTGTTCCGATGAGACCGTGTACCCATGAGGTATTAAATAGTTTGACGTTTGGTTTTGGTTATAATTTCATCAATAAGTTATTGTGATTTGATTTGATTATTAGGTTGTTACGCTTTGGTATAGAGCTCCTGAAATCTTATTCGGTTCTCGAAGTTATTCTTTCGCTATTGACATGTGGAGTATTGGATGTATTTTCGCGGAAATGTCACTTCGAAAGCCAATGTTTGCAGGTACGATGTTAATATAGCTAAATGGATAAGAATATTACCCAATATAAGATTATAAATTTTTAGAAAATTTTCATTATTATTTACCTTTTATTATTATTACAGGGGATTCTGAAATTGACGAACTTTTTAGAATTTTCAAGTAATTTATTTACATATATTTTCAAAAATCATCCAAATAAACATTGAAAGAATTATAATATTTTTCTTGTAGAATTCTAGGAACACCCAATGAAGAAGTATGGCCTGAAATTATAAATTTTCCAGATTACAAGACGAACTTCCCTAAATGGAGACCGAAATTACTGAGCGATTATGTTCCGGGGATGGGGCCGCTTGCCATTGATTTGCTTTCTGTACGTGATGATTAAGATATTTTGTTTTAATACGTTACTTTTAAATGCATAACTAAATTGTAATACTTAATTATAATTGGTTAATAGAAAATGCTGGTTTATGATCCAACTTATCGAATCTCTGCCAAGCGTGCTAGGGCTCACCCATATTTCACCAACAAACATTATTAGATACATTTATAATATAATAAAATATTTGTGTGGAACGGTCACTTTTAGATTGTCATGTATAAAAAAATATTTGACTTGTGTAATCAATCACCTAACGCTAATATTGATCAATATTTAACTCAAAATATATATTAAAATCAGATGATATCTCCAGGGACAATGATCTCCTGTGACGAAAATTTACATCATCTAACCAATAAAATTCATAGAAGTGATGTTACCAAATTGTCAATTAATGACTCTCACAATTGGGGTTTTAATTTTAATAAATACTAATATTATTGTTATTATATCGAAGAATTACAGAAGAGCTTCATTTATAGCATCCTGTTGACATTTCCAGGTATTTTTGATTCAAAAGATGAAAACGCTCTTGGGGTTCTACCTAGCTTTGGTATCTGGATACTATCAGAACGTTTATGCAATTTATTATCAATATTTGCTGCTTAGAAAAGTCAGGTTCGTCTATTTGAGTTCATTAACAAATACATTGGAAAAATTTTTTGAACGTTTAGCATTACAAATTTATTTTGATCTCGAAATATAGATTAAATACATTTTAATCTAGAATGAGCCGGATGGATTGAATCGATCACTAATATTTATTACTATATATAAAACAATCAATTAGTGTATGCATATAGTGAATTCACTATACACAAACAGCCCCATCAAGCAAAGCTCGGAGAAAAATTCCCCGAGCACCATTAATATCCCTATCCATCACTATTTCACATTTATTACATTTAAACAATTTGTTGCCACCCAGGTTATATTTAATAAATCCACAACTGCATAAAGCAAAAATTTCTTTTTTTAGAAGGAGCACAAGTAGTTCTACATAATTAAGAATCTTATAAAAGAATAAAAATATATATAAAAAAATAATATACTGAGAAATAAGATCATCCAAAGATAAAGACAAATGGATTATACAATTAATATCTAAGTTACCAAACCAACCACATCCTTTGGATGAAGAATACCAAGACCAACCAGTACAAACATCAGGATCAATAGTAACATTGATATTTTTCAGTGATTTGAATATTATCACAATTTTTATCATTTTTACCTATTATAATATAAAGATAAATTAATAGTAGTTATATTTAAAAACCTATAGAAAAAAGCTAAACATATCATATATTCAAACAAATATCTAATAATTTAATTTTTTATTAAATATTAACGTTGAATCCATTAAAACCTTTCCTTTCAAATTTTGGCTATTTACAGTAGTGGTCATAAATATCCAATCATCTGAGATCATCCAAAATTATTATATAATTAAATCTTAAATTTCTAGAAATATAATGTAATACAATACATGATCACCTGTAAATTTATAAGTGTTAATGATACAAAAATAAAAATTTAGATGATCATCAAACTTTCACTTGAAAAATGAAGTTTCTCTTTAGAAAAATAATATGAAATTATCTTTTTATGTGAGCATCCAACTAGTTCAAAGTTTAGTTTTAGATTTATTGTTAAACAGGTATGCTATAGTAAGTTTACAGCTATTTATTGAGTTAAAAGATATAATAAAATTGGAATCTAAATACTGTACTTCAGAAAGATTGGGGCAGTCTTATATAATAACTGCAAAATAAGATAATAAGATTGTAAAGATGGCAGAGAAAGAACATAATATAACAGCCATTCAAATACAAAAAAAAAATAGAAAAAAGAGATTTTGAACTTAGTGTAGAAATTGTAAAGTGACGTCTTTGTAAGTTTGAAGAAAAGTTTAGTAATAAAATTTTTAAATATTTGCTTAAAGAAGACTATTGAAAGAAAAGGTTATAATGAGCAAAAAAAATATAAAAATTTTGATTGAAATCGAGTTGTTTTTACAGATGAGAGTACATTTTAATTATATATATCAAAAAAGATTTGGCAGTTTCTTGGTAAAAAAAAGTGTTTCGTTCTAAGCATCCACTAAAAGTTCATGTTTAAAAATGTTTTTCTGTTTCTAAATTTGGTAAGTTACTTTACTTTCAGAGGAATCTTAATGCTGAATTTATATATACTATTTATGAGCAGGATTTTCTGGCTTCTACCTTTAAACTTTTTGGTAAATGTAATATAAATTGGATTTTACAAGAAGATAATAATCTAAAATATCAATTAAAAATCACAAAAAAATGAAAGGAAAATAGCATTGAGGTACTTTCTTAGTCATTAATGTTTTCAGATTAAAACTTTATAGAAAATGTTTGAAGGTTAATGAAAATTAATATACAAAAAAAAATTAATCAATTAGAAAGTTAAAGGAGAACTTACAAAAGAATAGAACTAATTATCACCTATATTTATTATGAATTTGATAGCTAATATGAAAAGGTGTATAGCTGCACTTATAGAGTTAGATAGTGATTACATAATGTATTAATTTTAGTTAGTTAGTTATGTATTTTTTAAATAAAAAAAAAATTTGAATTTACTTACTTGTAGTTAAAATTAGAGATGGTTAAATACTTATGATTACTACTATATGATTTTTTTAACAATATTCATGATGCAACAGAAAAAGAAAAAGATTTTTGTTTATATAATGATTTGTTGATTTGATAATTTTTTATTATGTAGAAGATGAATATAGAATTTAAGTGATTCATGACAATATTGAAAATAAATAATAATTATTTACTCTTATAACATTAGTATTAGCAGTTGTGATAATTAATAATAAGTTTATCATGATTTATTTTAATAGTCTTCAATTACCTTCTAAAATATTTTATTTCTTTTTATTTTACATTATGAATAAATTTTTCTGTGACTGATTTCTATTTTAATAAAAATAATAAAAAATTAGTATAAATAATAATACATTGTATTATCAAATATTTTTTATATATACTTTTTTTCTTTGAAATAAAGACAATATTTTTTATATTTAATTTCATTATTTTAATAAACAATTTCATTTTGAGCTTGAATTACATGTGTAATAATATGATCAAGCATCTTGTATGGATAATCTTTCATAAAACTCCATTCAAGAGTATGTAAAATTTTAAGTTTAAAAAGAGATTGAAACTAAATTTGACAAATTGATAAATGATCATAGTTAAAATTTGTAACCACCATATTATAAATAAGCCTATATATAATATATAAAGTTAAAAATTATAATGTTTTTAAAAGAAACAATAATAAAGATAAAATATCTAACATAACTCATCTACTGTTTCAATAAAGTTTTCTGTGAGAAATTTAGATATACTCTAACCTTTAGAGATTAAGTTAAATTAGCTTTCATCTGACATTTTGAGTAGCAAGTTAATTTCAATGACTTTTTGCATTTTCTGTTACTGTTATTTTCATTCTTATCAATATTTACATAATGTATTGGTTAGCTAATATTATTAGATAAATAAAGAATAAATAAATAAATTCTGAACAAATCTTACTAATCATTTTTCTTAGATGATAAGAATATCTTAACAGAGTTTAATTTTATATTTGAAGGAGCCATTTTGTAAGAGAACTAAGAGTTTTGCATCATTAAGTTTAAAAAATTAGTTGATATCATATACAAATCAATATAGTCAGTTCTTATAGGAAATCACAACTTTTGCGACCATTTTATGATTTGCTTATTCCAATATGATTTGTAAGCTAGATCACTTAAAGTTGATACTACTTTCAATAAGTTTATGTTAGAGACACAATTATTGCATTTTAAGTTCTCCTTTCTTTTTTGCACTTGAAATTTTATAACTTTTTTGCATGATAAAGAAGGTAGAGAAAAAAGAGAAGAAGGAAGAAATGGTAGTGGTTATATCATTGAATAAGAATTAGAAGCAAATTGTCTAATGTAAACATTTGATTTTCATATACAATAGGAAAGTAATTCAACAATGTGAAAATGACAATGTTAATTCATCAATAAATTTAATAATACGAAGTATTATGTAAATCCTATGTCTTGTAATCTTATGTAAGATTATGAGCCTATCAAAAAACTTACATATTATAGTACTTTATTATTTTTACGATATATAATATTTTGAAAGTTTACGATATATAAACTTTTGAAAGTTTACAATACATAATATGACAAATCGTAGTAATTCGCATGTTTATAACATGTAATATTTTATGACGTGTAATAATTCAAAAGTTTATGACACATAATATTTTGTTATAATGCATAAATATGAGAAATCATAGTAATTTGCATATTATGACATGTAGTACTTCGATATTTTTACGACACGTAATAATTCAAAAGTTTACAACATATAATATTTTAAAAATTTATAATACGTATATTTTGAAAGTTTATAACAGGTAAATTTATGGATTTTATTATTAATATTCTAATCAATAGTAATTAATTTAAAAAATTTTAATAAATCATTGTTCGTTTGCACAATACTTTAAAAATTATTAAAAATTCATTAATGTTATGATTTATTTTGTTAAATAAGTAAATTTTTCTCTCCCTGTTAATTAGCACTATTATCACATTTTGAAAATATTCAAGTGAAGAAAGATTTAGTAAAAATAAGCCAATAATATATAAACTTATGTAACATTAAATAAAATACTAATTATATTAAATAAATATGACTTACATTATTAAATTAATTTTTTGATTTTATCATTGTATTTAATTACATTATAAAAATGTCTATTTCTCTCTGTTAATTCTATTATAATTAAAAACTAAAAAAAAAATTAATGTATATTTTAAAAATATTGAAGTAAGATTTTGGTAAAAATAAGTCGGTAATACATAAACTTATGTAATATTAAATAAAATAATAATTATATTAAATAAATATGACTTACATTATTGAATTAATTTTTTGATTTCATCATTGTATTTAATTGCATTTTGAAAATATTCATTTCCCTCTATTAGTTCTATTATAGTTAAAAAAAAGTTCATTTCCCTTCTAATAAACTGAAAAAAAAAGAAAACTAATATATATTTTGAAAATGTTGAAGATTTTGATAAAATAAATCAGTAATACATAAAC